TCTGCACTCCACTCTGTCTCTGGTGAATTCTCTCACCCTCCACATCTCTGGCCTGTATCCCAGTTCTGTATGCACAAATAAAATAAAATCTTAAAAAAAAAAAAATTGTTAATGTATTTCTGGGACCCTTCCTGGTGGTGCATTAGGTTAAAGCGCAGCACTATGAAGCCAGCCACGGCTGCTTCAGCATGAGTTTGATCCCAGCCAAGGAGGTGACCCACATGGCGCAGCAGACCCTGCCTGTCTTGCCCACTGCTCCCCCTCAGCAGTGTACTTGGTCAATCTGCCTATTCTGCTCCTCACTCTCTCTGGTGAATCTTCTCACTGCCCCTGCACCTCTGGCCTGCACCCCAGTTCTGTATGCATAAATAAATAAATCTTTTTCAAAAATTGTTAATGTATTTCTTTTCAAAAATGGTTTAAAATTTTTTCCTTTTTCTTTTGAACTTTGGACTCACCTCCTTTGTCCACTTCCTCTTTTTACATTCAACCTTCTTGTTTTGGTTTTAATCCCAAATTACTATCCTTATTTTCTACATAAAATCCAATCTTAAGTGTTTGATTGTTGCCCCTTATGGGTCTATACATTAGGGAGCTTGTCCTAATGTGCAAGTTATATGAAGGAGCCCAAAGTCTATGTGATCCTTCAAGAACTATACAGAGTGTCAAGAAATGCTCAAGATCTTTTGCAAATGAAGCAACATAGCTCTTTGAGAGAATTAATTTTTTCACAATTTTCCAGCAGATGTCGCTAGTCAGTAATATGAAACTACAAAGTGACACTGTATTATCAAGTACAATTTCTTCTGGTGATTCCTTCATTCAGAAATTAAGTCATTAAAATGTGCTTATGAGTGAAAATCCTTTAATTTCTACAAGGAAATGAGCATAGCTCCTAATCATGGACTTGAAACCTGCCAGGCCAATGAAGCGCTGATACAGCCTGAATCTATTAGCTGGATTGCCATAACAAAACAGCACAGACTGGATGGCTTAACAGAAACGCAATCACGGATCAGGCTTGACTCCATGAAGGAACACCTACATCCAAAAGGGCAGCTGATGCAACATCCAAGAATTTCAATCATTAGCAACACAATACATGAGGTTTAATAAAATAAAGCATAAATAAGTAACAAAAAACTATTTTCTTAGTTTTGGAGACTAGCAGTTTAAGATCAAGGTATTGGCAGCTTTTGTTTCTCCTGTCTATTTCCTTGGCTTCCAGAAAACTGCTTTCTTGTGTCCTCATGTATGTAGTCTTTCCTCTCTATCTGCATGCTCCCAGTATCTCTGCCCCTTCATTTAGAACACCAGCACTACTGATTAGGGTTCTTCTACCTTTATGACCTCATTCAATTTTAATTACCTCTGTTTTTTAATTAAGTATAACTGACAAAATAAATTAGCTTCAGGTATACAACATAATGATTTGATACTGTATATATTACAAATTGATCACTACTATCTGTCTTCATACATAATTACAAAGATTTTTTTTCCTTGTGAAGACGTTTAAGATTTAATCTCTTAGCAACTTTCAAATAAGCAAACAGCATTATCAAGTATATACACACACACGTACATATATAGCATCCCCATAACTTACTCATTTTAAAGTGGTATACCTCTTGACTCCCTTCACATATTATGCCTAGCTACCCCTCCATACCCTCCATCTGGCAACCACCACATCCTCACTAACACCTGTTTATTCTTGCCTTTTTGATACTAGCCATTCTAACAGGTATGAAGTGCTATTTCACTGTGTCATGATTTACATTTCCTGATGATCAGTAATAAATGAAAAATGAACTTTTTTTATGTATCTGTAGTCATCTATATGTCTTTGAAAAAAATGTCTATTCAGGTCCTCTGTTCATTTTTTACTCTTTTTTTTTTCTGTTAAGCTGTGCTGATTCTTTATTTGGGTCGTAATTCCTTATAGGGTACATGATTTACAAATATTTTTACCACTTGGAAGGCTGCCTTTTCATTTGTTGTTGATTTCTTTTGCTGTGCATAATTTTTTTAGTTCCACATAGTTGCATTTGTTTATGTTCTTTGTTGCCTTTTCTTTTGGAGTCAGATCCCAAAATCAATGTCAAGAAGCTTGCCACCTACTTTTCTTCCAAAAGCTTATTGTTTCAGGTCTTATGTTCAAGTTAATCCATTTTTGTTCATTTTTGTATACTGATTACCTCTTTTTAAAGACTATCTCTAAATTCAATTACAATGAGGTTAAGCCTCAATATATGTATTTGAGAGGGACATAATTCAGTGTAGGTATCTAAGTTACTTAAAGCAATGCTTAATACTTCAGATCGTGAAAAATTACTACATACTGTGAAAGACTATAAAGGCAAAATTAGTTCTTAAGTATATTGTAAGCATGTAAAAGGCAGAGAGATAGCTGGTAAAAAGCATTTACACAGAAATGAGTAACTAATATGGCACCAGATTATCAGTAGACTGCTCTGTTGACTATATCACAACTGGAATGATACTCGCTGCCTAAATGTGGCATGATGCCAACACACAAATTTCTAATTAGTGTGCTTGAAGTTTCAACATGTATTTAATAAATGAAAGGGTTCTTTTTTGATGAATGAGGTCTTTTTAATTAATAGAATTTGACTAACATTTCAAAATCAAAGTAAGTTAACATTAATTTAAGACTATTTTAAAGAAGTTAAGCTTTTTTTTTTTTAAGATTTATTTATTTATTCATAGAGAGCTGGGGTACAGGCCAGAGTTGCAGGGGGTGAGAGTATTCAACAGAGACAGAGCAGAACAGGCAGACTGACTGAGTACACTGCTGAGGGGAGCAGTAGGTGGGTCAGGTGGGTCAGGAGAGGTCTGCCGCACCTCGTGGATCACTTCCAGGGTGGCGCCACGTAGATCACTTCCAGGGCGGGGATAAATGCTGCTGCTCGCTTGTAGTGCTGAGTCCTAACCCGTTGTGCCAGCTGGGAGGGCCCAGTTACCTTTTTTTTCTAAGATTTATTTATTTATGCATACAGAACTAGGGTACAGTCCAGAGGTACAGGGGTGGTGAGTGGATTCACCAGAGACAGAGTGGGGAGCAGAACAGGCAGACTGACGAAGTACATTGCTGAGGGGAGCAGTAGGTGGGTCAGGAGAGGTCTGATGTGCCATGTGGATGACCTCTGGGGCAGGGATCGAACTTTAGCTACTTAGTGCTGTGCTTTAACTGGCTATGCCACCAGGCAGGGCCCACAAAAGTCACCTTTAAAAAATTTATGACCTCTAATTTGATGTATTTACCAGTCAATATAAAGGAATTATTTTGTTAGACCTTAGAATTTGGAAGGTAGAGATTTTTTATTTCACTGCTTTTCAAGAAAAAGGCAGACTCAAAGAAAAGATTCCATCTTTGAAGCAACAGACACTGGCGTCTGAGTTTGGATCCACTTACCCCTCACTCACTATTTCTCAATGTCCTCCATCCATCTTTTCAATGGTAAGAGAATAACAATACTAGAACCATGAAAAGGATTAATAATAGAAAGGGACATTTAAAACATGGGGCTGGGCCCTCCCTGGTGGTGCAGAGGGTTAGGACACAGCACTGTGAGTGAGCCACATCCGCTTCAGTGTGAGTTCAATCTCCCGGCCTGGAGGTGACCCACATGGCGCGGCAGCTCTCTCCTGACCAGCTCCCCTCAGCAGTGTACTTTGTCGATCTGCCTGTTCTGCTCCCCCCTCTGTCTCTGTTGAATACTCTCACCCCCTGCAACTCTGGCCTGTACCCCAGTTCTTGCATGCATGCATAAATATTTTTTAAAAGAATCTAAGAAATGGCCCTCCCGGGTGGCGCAGCGGGTTAAAGCGCAGCACTAAGAATCGAAAGCCACTTCCGCATGAGCTCGATCCCCGCCTGCCCAGGAGGTGACCACATGGAGTGGCAGGCCTCTCCTGACCCGCCCGCTGCTCCCCTCAGCAGTGTACTTCATTGATCTGCCTGTTCTGCCCCCCACTCTGTCTCTGGTGAAGCCTCTCACTGCCCCTGCAACTCTGGCCTGTACCCCAGTTCTGTATGAATAAATCAATCTTTAAAAAAAAAAAAGAATCTAAGAAATCCCAAATAAAACTGAGGTACTATTTTATTTCTAAATTAAAGATCTTACTAAAGCCAAATAAGTGAGATATGGTGGTGGAAAAAAGTTTTATGAGGGATGTCTGTCTTCCTACAGTCTATTCTACAGATTGTGTGTAAAAAGAGATGCACAGAAAAACCTAGGCAGTGTTCAGTCTCTGACAAAAGAATGCTACTCCTTTCCTAACAACTGGGGAAATAATTTAAGCAGCACAAAAAGTTAATGGTTGTATAATCCACAATACCACAAACAGGATATGTAAGGTAGTTTTTAGAGGTCATAATTAGGAACATGGAAAAATATCAATGACATGAGACAAACTATAACAACATAAAAGTTAGTACATTTAGTCTTAGAACATGAGAAAAATTGGAAGAAAACAATTTATTTTAAAATATGTTACAATGCCTATAACTTACCTTTAAATTTAAGAGATCAGCTTATTTTTAAGATACAGCATTTTAGCAGTACATTACGAAAAGACACATACCTGACACTCGCCGATCAAATCTGCTAGGAATTGGAACTGTAAAAAAAAAAAAAAACAACACACAGTATTTAGCCATGATTATGATTATGTCACCTGATCCAATTTTTACACCATCCCTTTTTAGATAGATCTTTGACAACAGAACTAAGGAATTCAATAACAAGTAGTGAGTGAATTCATACTCTTCTTCCATAACCAATTAGGTCAACATAACCAAGTAGGTTCAACATGATCATATAAAGAAAGCATTCAGGTATAATGTATCTCTTTGAAAAAAACTCTTTTTAAAGTCAAAGTACTCAAGATAGCATTTTTATGTCTGCTCACATCCATGTTCATTCTAATTTACATTATGCCAAATGAGTAAGTAGTCTATCAAATTTATTATTGATGGACTGGTATCAAATATATTTTGTCATTCAAAAATCTTTGAAGATGGCCTCTCTGGTTAAAAGAAAGAAACAAAGAAAGAAAGAAAAAGGCCCTCTCTGGTGGCACAAGGGGTTAAGTCTCAGCACTATTGAGCTACCAGCTGCCATTGCAGCAAGAGTTCAACCCTGGCCAAGAGGTGACCCACATGCCAAAGCAGACCTTTCCTGTCTCACCTGCACCTGCTGCTCCCCTCAGCAATGTATTTCAGTAGATCTGCCTGTTCTGCTCCCCATTCTGTCTCTGGTGAATCCTCTTAACCTGCTACAACTCTGGCCTATACCTCAGTTCTTATATGCATAAATAAATAAATCTTTTTAAAAATTAAGAAAAAATAGGGCCCCCCCCGGTGATGCAATGAGTTAAAGTGCAGCACAGCGAAGCCAGTTGCAGCTGCTTAAGAGTGAGTTCAATGTCAGTTCAATCCCCGGCCCTGGAGGTGACTCACATGGCGCAGCAGACCAGTCCTATCTTGTCTGCAGCTCCCCTAAGCAGTGTACTTCCTTGATCTGCCTGTTCTGCTCCCCACTCTGTCTCTGGTGAAGCCTCTCACTACCCCTGCACCTCTGGTCTGTACTCCAATACTGTATGCATAAATAAATATATCTTTTTTAAAATTTTCTAAGTAAAATGAAAAACAAGTTGAAGATGGCTCAGAGAGTCAAACTCAACTAATGTGAGGTATCTGAAATAAAAATAGACCCAGGAAGGAGGCAGTTATTCATCATAATAGGAATAGAATTATCTTTCTGGGCTCATGACACCAAAGTATAGGCAAAAACAATAAACTGAACCAAATCAAAATGTAAAACTTCTGTGCATTGAAATATACAATTAATCAAGTGAAAAGGCAACCCACAGAACTCCTACATCTCAACAAAAATCAAAACCTGACTTTAAAAAAAAACATTTACTTATTTATACATTCAAGAACTTGGGTGTAGGCCAGGTGTACAGTGGCTGGCAGCAGCTTGACAGCACTGTCTAACCCCTGCACCACCAGGAAAGCCCTCAAATCCTGACTTTAAAATGGGAAGGTGCCCTCCTTGGTAGTGCAATGGATTGAAGTGCAGCTCAATGAAATTATCTGCAGCCACTGCAGCACCCAGCCAGAGAGGTGACCCACATGCAATGGGGACCTCTCCTGGCCAGCCTGCTTCTCCCCTCAGGAGTGTATTTCAGATCTCCCAGTCCTGCTCCCCACTGTCTCTGGTGAATCTTCTCACCCCATCCCCACAACTCTGGCCTGTACCCCAGTTCTTGTATGCATAAATAAATCTTTAAAAAAATAAATAGGTGGTGCAGCAGGTTGAAGCTCAGCACTGAGAAGTTGGCCACTTCAGTGCGAGTTTGATCCCCATGTTACCCCCCCCAAGTGATCCACATGGCACCGCAGACCTCTCTTGACTTGCATGCTGCCTGTTCTGATCCCTACTCTGTCTCTGGTGAATTATCTCATGGCCCCGCACCTCAGGCCTGTACCCCAGTTCTGTATGCATAAATAAATAAAATCTCAAAAAGAAAATAAACAAAATGGACAAAGACCATATCTTCCAAAGAAGATATATGAATGGTAACAGTCAATAAGAAAGATACACAGGGCCCTCCCTGGTGGCGCAGTGGGTTAAAACACAGCACAAAGCTAAAGCCACTTCAGCATGAGTTCGAACCCCGCCGCATGAGTTCGAACCCCGCCTGCCCTGGAGGAGATCCACATGGTGTGGCAGACCTCTCCTGACCCGCCCACTGCTCCCCTCAGCAGTGTACTTTATCAATCTGCCTGTTCTGTGCCCCACTCTGTCTCTGGTGAATCCTCTCACCCTCCGCATCTCTGGCCTGTACCCCAGTTCTGTACGAATAAATAAATCTTTAAAAAAGAAAAAGAAAGATACACAGTATTACTAATCATAATGTATATAGAAAACACAATGAAATTCTACCTCACACCCCTATAACAGTTACTGTTTAAAAAACAAAATAACAAGTATTTGAAGAATGTGGAGAAATTGGAGCCTTTGTGCAATACCAGTGGGAATGTGAAATAGTGGTGCAGTCACTGTGGAAAATATGAAAACAAAAAGCAGACCTAGCATTTGAGCTAGTGATTCTACTTCTGGAGATCTGGACCTCCAAAAGAATTAAAAGCCAGGTGTCTGATACTGTACATCCACATTCATAGCAATACTATTCACCATAGTCAAAAGGTAGATACAACTCAAATGTCCATCAGTGGATAAATAATAATCTGTAGTATACACATAAAATACATATTCAGCCTTAAAAAGGAAAGAAACTCTGATACTTGCTACTCTGTGGGTGAATCTTGAAAACATTATGCTAAGTGAAGTTAGTGACAAAAGACAAATATACAATCATTCCACTAATGAGAGGTACCTACAGTTGTCAAATTCATACAGACAAAGTAGCATAGTGGTTATTAGGGCATAAAGGGGGAGGTTTTGGGAGAGTTATTATTTAATGGGTACAGTATTAATTTTGTAATACGAAAAACATTTTTGAGACTAATGGCGGTAATGGTTGTACAACACTGTGAATGTACTTAATGCCAATAAATTACAACTTTAAAACAATAAATTTTACTTTAAAATTTACACATTTAAAATTTCTAAAAACATGTAAAGCAAACATTGACACTACATGTGTGTGCTTACACATGTGCATGTGCACTGTAGGAGCAGCTTGGTGTTCTTCCAACTTATCAGGAGAGCTGAAGTTTCTAGCTAATATTTTAAAAATCAACCGAAATGTAGGCCCTCAAATCAAATGTGATATAAGTTTACTTTTATTCTGTTGTCAAACCATGTTTTTATATAACTAATTCAAAATGAAATGGATTCATAGTTTTCAAGGTAAATTAACAATTTGTTTTTGTCTTTTTAAAGAATTATTCATTTATGCATACAAGAACTGGGGCATAGGCCACAGGTGCAGGGGGAGAGAGGATTCACCAAAGAGAGACTGGAGAACAAGCAGATAGACTGAAACACACTGCTTCAGGGGAGATAGGAGAGGTCTGCTGCTCGACTGCAGTGGCTGTGGAAAGCGTCATAGTACTGTGCTTTAACCCCCTGCGTCATCCCAGTAATTAAAATTTGTTGAAATTATCTAAACTTACTTCATAATACACTGACCTAAAATTAAAAAATTTTAACTTAGTTATCATTTTTAGATTATCATGCAAAAAAGACAAAATGATGTAATTTCTAAAGCATTCCCTGATACTGCAGGAGAGATCAAAAGTATATAAAGTCCACTTGCAGCAAGAGATTTAATTAAAAACAAAAAGAATAAAGGCATTTAGTATAAATGTGTAGATGAAAAAGCAAACAAAATAGATGAATACATTCTACCTGATAAAACTATGAGTTGTTTAAATTTAGTACACATTTTATAAGTTTTTTTTTTTTTTTTTTTTAAAGATTTATTTATTTGTGCATACAGAACTGGGGTACAGGCCAGAGGCTCAGGGGCGGTGAGAAGCTTCACCAGAGACAGAGTGGGGAGCAGAACAGGCAGATCTACGAAGTACACTGCTGAGGGAAGCAGCGGGCGGGTCAGGAGAGGTCTGGCTCGCCATGTGGTCTCCTCCGGGCAGGCGGCAGGCGGGAATCGAACTCATGCGGAAGTGGCTTCAGATTCTCAGTGCTGTGCTTTAACCCGCTGCGCCACCAGGGAGGGCCCACATTTTATAAGTTTTTATAGGGTCAGAAGAAATAGCTGCAGTTGGAACAAAATGCAACACCAAGGAACAGAGAAAATATAATCAGTGACTTCAGCAGTCGGAGACCTTTTTTTTTCCTCCTTTGAGTAAACACTGCATTATAACACAGGCCCCAGGTGTGCATCACTGAGAACCAAGTCTATAGAAACTAACTTCACTGATAAGATTCCAATTTTATATTTCACCATACCATTGTTCCCTTTGCCATGATTTACCCAATCTCCCTACCCCTTCTACCCTCTTGTAATCACTAACAGGTGTTATAATTCCAAAGTTCACTTCTGTTTTATTTAGTTTATCTGTTTGTTTTTGTCTCTCTACATATAGAAACATAAAGTGTCTTCTGTCTGGCTTATTTCACTAAGCATGATACACTCTAGGCACATTCATGTTGTTACAAGTGGCAGAATTTCATTTTTTAAAATAACTGAATAGTACTCCATTGTGTATACATACCACACCTTCTTTTTCTTCTGTTAGTCACTGGCACTTAGGTTGTATCCAATTCTTGGCTATTATAAACAATGCAATAAAGATGGGGGACACATATATCTTTTGAACTAGTGTTCTATAATTTCGGGGGGACAAATAGCCATAAGTGGGCTCATTAGATCACATGGAATTTCTACGTTCAATTTTTTTTGAGGTATCACCATACTGGTTTCTATGACAGTTGCAGCAATTCATATTCATTAATAGTACTGGACTGAAATACTGAAATAGTATTTCAGAAAAGTCATGATGTATTTTTTCTGTTTTCAAGCAAAAATGTGTCATGACATTTCCAATAACCAAATATATAAAGAGACCAACTTATTCCAACTTCACCACTATTAGAGACAGAGAATATAGGACACCAGACTAT